CCCTACCGCACTGCCCCGCTCCCCCCCCCGCCGCTCTTCCTCACCCCAGGTGTCCCGTCGGTAGACCCCCTCCCTCCCCAGGCTGCTGCTCCCTCAGGTGTTTGTTAAGATATGAGCTAAGGCTAAGAAGCCATGGCTAAGTTTTAGGGTATATGAAAGAGAAATAGGAGAAGAAGGGTACAAATATGAAAGAATTGAAGCAAGGTGCACCACCTAACAAGCAAGATAACTACACTAAGTCTACATTGCAGGCAGTTATCAAGTAATGTATACAATAACATTCTGACACACTCCCTAACTGCCTGCAGTGAAGAACCATGTGCAGAAACACCCCCAGAAGGGGTACACCAAGCAGAGCACAGCAGACGGAGAGGGCAAGTGAGGAGGAGGAGGGACTATGAGAGAAGAGGAGGTGGTGGGCGGCAGCTGAAGCTGCTGGCACACTGCACAACTGGAGCAACTGGCACACGGGCAACTGGAGCAACTGGCACACTGGCAACTAGAGCAACTGGCACACGGGCAACTGGAGTAACTGACTCCGCGGCTAGACGAGCGGCAGGAGTAACTGACTCACGGACGACTGGAGCAACGGGCTCACGGGCGACTGCAGCGACGGGCTCACGGGCGACTGGCGCAACGGTCTCACGGGCGACTGGAGCTGCTGACTTCACGGCGGCCACCTCCACTCAACCTCCCTCACCTGTCCCACACCCCTTTCACACCCCTTGCCGTACCCCTTCCCACACTCATCACCCTCACACCAGCCACCCCCATACCTCCCACACTCATCACCCCCGCACCCGCCACCCCCATACCCACCCCCCCACGGCTGCATCGGGTCCAGGAGCCGCTGCTGCAGTGGCGGCTGCTCCAGTGGGCAGGGGCGGCCGCTTCAGGGGCGGCTGCTGCAGGGGTAGCGGCTCCAGGGGCGGCTGCTGCAGTGGCGGCTGCTCCAGGGGCGGCTGCTTCAGGGGCGGCGGCTCCAGGGGCGGCTGCTGCAGCGGCGGCTACTCTAGGGGCGGCTGCTGCTGGGGCGGCTGCTCCAGGGGCTGCTGCTGCAGTGGCGGCTGCTGCAGGGGTAGCGGCTCCAGGGGCGGCTGCTTCAGGGGCGGCGGCTCCAGGGGCGGCTGCTGCAACGGCGGCCGCTCCACGGGCGGCTGCTCCAGGGGCGGCTACTGTTGCAAGGCAGGCCCGCGCTCTGGTGCAAAGCAGGCACGGGCGCAAGGGAGGTAGAGGCGGCGGCCAGGGGGGGGTGCGCCGTGACGAGCAGGTGACGCGGCCACAAGGGGCGGCAACGGAGCCGCTAGGGGCGGCAACGGGGCCGCGAAGAGCGGCGACGGGGCTGCTAGGGGCGGCAACGGGACCGCTAAAGGCGGCGACGGGGCCGAGAAGGGGCGGCGACAGGGCCGCGAAGGGGTCGCGAGGGGCCGAGAAGGGCGGCGACGGGGCCGCTACGGGCGGCGACGGGGCCGCTAGGAGTGGCGACAGGGCCGATAGGGGCGGCGACAGGGCCGCAAAGTGTGGCGACGGGGCCACTGAGGGTAGCGCGAGGGGCCGTGAGAGGAGCAGCTACGGGGCCGCGAAGAGGCCGTGAGGGGCCGAGAAGGGCGGCGACGGGGCAGGAAGATGCCGCGCGTCTGGGGCGCACGGCGGGCAGAAAACCGCCACGCGCCCCGAGCGCGTGGCGGGAAGAAAAAAGTGTCGCACGCCACGGGGCGCGCGACATACAAGAAAGCAGCGGAAGCACGTGGGGCCCACAGGCCAAGAGCGTAGTCGCTCTGATTCCATGTTAAGATATGAGCTAAGGCTAAGAAGCCATGGCTAAGTTTTAGGGTATATGAAAGAGAAATAGGAGAAGAAGGGTACAAATATGAAAGAAGTGAAGCAAGGTGCACCACCTAACAAGCAAGATAACTACACTAAGTCTACATTGCAGGCAGTTATAAAGTGATGTATACAATAACATTCTGACAGTGTTTCCCAGGTAGACCCGGTCGAGCCTGTCGAGGTAGCTGTTGAATCTGGTCCTGCGCGAGGTACTGAGTGTGCTGAGCCTGGTGGTGCTGGGTCTGGGGGCACTGAGACTGGGGGTGCTGAGCCTGGGGGTGCAGAGACTGGGGGTGCTGAGCCTGGGGGTGCGGAGACTTTGGGTGCTGAGCCTGGAGGTGCTGCGACTGGGGGTGCTGAGCCTGGGGGTGCTGAGACTAGGGGTGCTGAGACTGGGGGTGCTGAGCCTGGTGGCGCTCCCTCTTCACAGCAGCTGCGTGAGTGGTACTCCCAGCGCTACAGCCTCCGTCGTGGGGCTACTGGAGCTGGGGGGTCTTCTGGAGTCGGGACTGGTGGCCTCACAGGTGCAGTGCCGCAGCCAGAGCCTCCCTCCCCTCAGCGGCTACGTGAGTGGTACGCTCGGCGCTGCAGCCTCAGGAGTGGAGCTCCTAGCGTTGAGGTACCGCCAGCTGGAGGCCCTGCTGCTAGAGGTACTGCTGGCGCTGGTGCTGCTGGAGGTGCTGCTGGTGCTGCTGGAGGTCCTGGAGGTGCTGCCGGTGCTGGTGGAGGCTCTGGAGCTGCCGGAGGTGCTGCTGGTGCTGGTTCGGCTGGAGGTTCTGGTGCTGTCTCTGCTGCTTCTGGGGGCACTTCACGGCCGCGGCCGTACTTCGTTCCGCTCCTTCAGCAGGTTCTTGGTCAACCGCCTCCTCCTAGTCCTCCTCCCTCCTCAGAGTGTCCTCCGCCTGTCCGGTCACAGTCCCAGCTCCCGCCTGCCTCGCCACTTCCTGGTCCTTCTCCCTACACTGGTCCGACAGGCGGTCTTACAGAGCGTCGTGAGCCTGAGTCTCGTCCTGTGTCGCCTGTGTCGCGTCCTGTGTCACCTGTTCGTGCTGCTCGCACTGATCGCCGTGGTCAGCATGAGCGTCCTCCACCTGTGCCTGGCACACACTTTATGACTCTGCGTCCTTCCACTGCTCCACAGCGTGTCCCTCTGCCGTCTCCTCCTGAGTCCTCTCTTCCTGTCCTTGCTGACCCGGAGTCTGACTCTCATCGTGCTGCCTGTCCTACTGTCATGCGTCTCCTGGCCACTGCTGTCACTGACCCTTGCTTTGAGTCTGCTGCTGCGTCTGCCCTAGTTGCCGAGCTTGTCGACTTTGCTGCTCGCTGTCGTCTAAACTACGCCGCGAGTCTTGTTGCTGAGTCTGAGTCTGTCTTTCCTCCGTCCGTTGGGAGTGAGTGTGCTCTAGGCACGGACGTCCTTGAGGACAGGCAGGAGGACCTTGAGTGTCTTGCAGCCGCTGCGCCTCATCTCGTTTCCATGCTAATTGCCCCTGAGGGAGACCCGAATGCTCCAGACATCCCGACCCCGCGCTCTTACGCTGATGCGATCGCGGGTGAGTACTCCTCTCAGTGGCAGTCAGGCGACCGAAGCAGCGCTCGGTGGAGTGTGGGCCCCCGCACTGCTCACTTGCTCGGTCGCCGGTACGGAGGACGTAAGTGCAGGGACCAGTACCCCCACCGCGCTGACGCGCAGTGTACCACTCACGAAGCTGCTGAGGGGACAGGGTCACACCACTCCGCTGCTGCTGGCGCGGACCACCACCTGAGCCACTCCTCTGCGCAGATTCGCAACCCGCTCCACCACCGCCGCCGCCGCCACCGCTGCCTCCGCCTCCTCCACCTCCGCCTCCTCCGCCACCTCCGCCGCCTCCGCTCCCTCCGCCACCACCGCCGCCTCCTCCGCCTCCACTGCTGCCGCCGCCGCCGCCGCCTCCCCCGCCACCACTCCCACCACCACCCCCACCCCCTCCACTGCCTCCACCACCACCTCCACCGCCCCCGCCAGCCCCTCCAGCGCCCTTGCCCCCCTTGCCCTTGCCGTTGCGGCGTCTCCCGCTCGGGGCAGACGCAGCGCCGACCGACTCGAAACTGACGAGGTCGGCCGCAGCAGCAGAGGCAACAGAGGGCAAGAGGGGGGAGGGGGAACACCCCTCAAAGACAGGGGTGCGAGGGTCACCATGAGAGGCTCCTACAGCGATTATGCTCTTCTCTGCTGCTAGGAGGGCCTTCTCGAGGAGGTCAACGGTGAGAGTGGTGGGGTAAAGTGAGAGGAAGTGGTCCCTGACTACGCGGAGAGAGTCAGGGAGCCGGGTGACTATGTAGTAGAGGGTGATGTACATGGGGGGGGGGGATCTTGGCGCAGAACTCAGCAGGAAGCGCAGCGCGGTAGCGAGTGTCACTAGTGCGGAGGTGCGTAATAAGGTCAGCGACTGTGGGAAAGGCAGCAAGGTCAGGGAAGAGGTACGGTAGCATGAGGCGGCTCAGTGTAGCAGTGGCAGGGGAAGAGTAGCGTGCAACTACAACGTCGTACAAGGTCTGAGCACTCTTGTACTGGCTAAAGTGTGCACGCTCAGCGGTCGGTAAGTGGCGACGCACAGCAAGGCGAGCAGCAGCATCGCGTGTGGCCCACTGTGAGCGAACAGTGCAGTCAGCAGTAGCAGGCGGGGCAGGAGATGCACCAGAGGTGAGATCGAACAGAGAGAGTCCGTCTGCCCTATCGCACTGGAGAAACAGCTGGAGGTCATCGACCCAGACCTCAAAGTCAACGGCACAGCCCTCAGCATCAAAAGTAAGGACACTGGGGGTAGCCAGGACTGCAGTGGCCTAGTAGGGAGTGAGCTCACCAGTCCGAGGAAGGAGGGCCGGGGAGCACCGATAGGAACAGCAGCGGCTCGACAGTAGGGCGGCTGGGCGGCTCGGCGGCTCGGCGGCAGGGCGGCTCGGCTGCTGGGCGGCTCGGCTGCTGAGTGGCTCGGCGGCAGGGCGGCTCGGCTGCTGGGCAGCTCGGCTGCTGGGCGGCTCGGCGGCAGGGCGGCTCGGCTGCTGGGCGGCTCGGCTGCTTGGCGGCTCGGCTGCTCGGCGGCTCGGCTGCTGGGCGGCTCGGCTGGTGGGCGGCTCGGCTGCTGGGCTGCTCGGTGGCTCGGTCGCTGGGCGGCTGAGCGGTGACAGGGCCGCTAGGGGAGGGCGACGGGGCCGCAGGTGACGGCGACGGGGCCGTAGGTGGCGGCGACGCGGCCGCAGGTGGCGGCGACGGAGCCGCAGGTGGCGGCGGGGCCACAGGTGGCGGCTGCGTGGCCGCATGTGGCGGCGACGGGGCCGCAGGTGGTGGCGACGGGTCCGCAGGTGGCGGCGACGGGGCCACGGGTGGCGGCGACGGGTCCGCAGGTGGCGGCGACGGGGCCGCAGGTGGTGGTGACGGGGCCGCAGGTGGCGGCGACGGGGCCGCGGGTGGCGGCGACGGGGCCGCAGGTGGCAGCGACGGGGCCGCAGGTGACAGCGACGGGGCCGCAGGTGGCGGCGACGGGGCCGCAAGGGGCCTAGACGGGGCCGCAGAGGGGCCGTAAGGGGCCTAGACGGGGCCGTAGAGGGGTCGCAAGGGGCCTAGACGGGGCCGAAAAGTTGCCGCAAGAGGCCTAAACGGGGCGGCGACGGGGCCGTAAGGGGCCGGAAAGGGCGCCGCGAGGGGCCGAAAGGGGCCCGCGAGGGCCGGAAGGGCGACGCAAGGGGAGTTAAGGGGCCGTAAGGGCAGCACGAGGGGCCGTAGAGGGCGGCGCGTGTTGAGATAGAGGCGAGGAATGAGTGCACTATGAAATGAAACAAGTACAAGTACCAACCCTAATTGGGTTGTACCCCCTATGGGCTACCCCACTACAGCCTAAATATATGCATCAGTAATATAATCATCTGACACACCCCCATAGGCAAAGTGGGGGAGAGCAAGGGGTCACAAGACCAGTCAAGCAAAGCAAAGCAAAACAAAGCAAGCTCAGGGTGGATCTCAAGGATACCACACAAATTCCGAGCACAAGGTCAAGGCCACAAGGCCAGTTCACATGCAGTAGAGCATATATATATATAGCAGTGCTAAACAAGCAAGAGCAAGGATATATATATGCAGCAGTACAAGCAAGGTCAAGAGGTAAGCAAGTGAGGCCCAGTGGGCACAAGGCCTAGCAGAGTGCAAAAGCGCTGATGGTCACGAGGCGGAAGTGCCTTGGTGAACACATCAGCAGTGTTGGCCTCAGTGGCCACGAAACGCAGGCGAAGCTGACCACGCTGCTGCAGCTCTCGAGCAAGGAAGTAGCGTAGAGCAATGTGCTTCGTCCTGTGCTCCAGTCTGTGCTCCTCACACAAGGCAATGGTTGCCTTGTTGTCGACGTACAGCACTGGAGGAGAACGAGGCCGCTCTCCAAGGTCAGTCAGCAGGTAGGTGAGCCAGCGAAGCTCCTGGGCAGCCATGGCCGTGGCGTAGATCTCAGCCTCACAGCTGGAGCTGAGAGCCGAAGAAGAGCGAGTAGAGCGCCAAGAGACAGAGCCAGAGCCAAGACTGAAGGTGTAACCCTGAGACGACCTCTGAGTAGCCTGGTCGTCAGCCCAAGAAGCGTCTGAGTGCCCAGTGAGCACAGGCCGCTCACGCCCTCCAAGCACTAGCCCCATGCCCGACGTATTGCACAAGTAGCGCAACACCCTCTTAGCTGCATCCATGTGCTCCTTCCGGTGACGGCCGGGAGCAACATAGCGTGCTAAGATGCTGAGAGGGTATGCGAGGTCAGGTCGAGTGCAAGTCATCAGGTACATGAGGCAGCCCACAAGCTCTGGATACGGACCACTCGACTCTACGGACTCATCCGAAGGCAGAGCTGAGAGCGAGTGTCCCGTAGGCAGAGGAGTGGACTGAGGCGAGGAGTACGTGAAGCCGAAGCGCTGAAGGACCTGCTGCACCATGTGTGACTGAGTCAGGGTAATGGTGCGGCGTGCTCTGTCCCGGGTGATCCGCAGGCCAAGATAGCTTGTCAGTTCACCCAGGTTTGTGCACGTGTGTCTCTTCTGCAGCTCGGACTTCACGTGGGCGAGTGCGGCAGTGTCCGCAGTGGCAAAGACCAAGTCGTCGACGTACACGAGGATGTAGAAAGGCGGCAGCGAGGTGTCGGTGCGCAGAAACAGCGACGGGTCAGCAGTAGAAGGAGCAAACCCAAGAGCCGCAAGTGTAGTCCTCAGTGTGTCGTGCCACTCACGCGGCGCCTGGCGGAGACCGTAGACTGGCCGTCGGAGGCTCCACTGGGTACCAGGTTGGAACGACCCAGTGAAGCCAGGAGGGCGGCGCAGCCAGATCTCCTCGTGCAGGCGGCCCTGCAGGAAAGCAGTGCTGAAGTCAAGAGAGTGTAGCTCGTAGTCACGCTGAGCAGCGACGTGCAGTAGAACCCGAAGAGTGGTCATCTTCGGGGTCGGGGAGAAGGTCTGAAAGAAGTCAACTCCCTGTCGCTGACTGAAGCCACGAGCCACGTAGCGCGCCTTGAAGACAGGCGGAGAACCCGGCGGCCGCTTCACCCTGAAGATCCACATGCCACTGACAATGTTCGCCCCAGGAGGGGGAACAGCGTCAACGTAGGTGCCTGTGGACTTCCAGGAAGCCATCTCTGCGTCCATGGCTGACTGCCACTGAGAGGAGTAGGGACCGGCCATCGCCTCTGCGTAAGAGCGTGGGGTCGGGATGTCTAGAGCATCCGGGTCTCCCTCAGGGGCAACAAGCATGGACACGAGATGGGGCAAAGCGGCGGCAAAGCACTGGAACTCCTCCTGCCTGTCCTCAAGGACGTCCGTGCCAAGAGCACAGTCACCCCCGACGGACGGAGGACAGGCAGACGCAGACTCAGCAGACTCAGCAACAAGACTGGCAGCATAGTCCAGACGACACGCAGCAGCAAAGTCGACCAGCTCAGCAACTAGGGCAGACGCAGCAGCGGACTCAAAGGAAGGGTCAGTGACAAGAGAAGCAAGAAGACGCGTGACAGTAGGACTGGCAGCACGGTGAGAGTCCGACTCCAGGTCGGCAAGTGTAGGAAGAGAAGACTGAGGAGGAGAAGGCAAAGGGGCACGCAGAGGAGCAGTGGACGGACGCAGAGACATCTGGTGCGTGCCAGGGACAGGAGGAGGACGCTGACGCGAACTGCGACCACTAGGGCGAGCAGCTCGGACTGGCAACGCAGGGCGGGACGCAGGCTCACGACGCTCAGCAAGACCTCCAGTAGGACCAGCGTAGGGAGAAGGAGAAGGCAGGGGAGAGGCGGGCTGTAACTGTGACTGTGACGGGACAGGCTGCGGACACTCTACGGGAGGAGAAGGACTAGTGGAAGGCGGGAGACCAAGAACCTGCTGAAGGAGCAGAACGAAGTACGGCCGAGGCCGCGCAGCACCGCCAGAGACAGCAGGGACAGCACCAACACCTCCAGAGGCAGCACCAGCACCAGTAGCAGCTCCAACTCCAGCACCACCAGCAGCTGCAGAAGTACCCGCAGTAGGACCGACAGTCGTAGCCTCAGCGCCAGCACCCGCAGCAGCTCCAGCTCCAGAGGCACCCCCGGGCCCGGCAGCTCCAGTACCCTCAGTACGAGCACCTCCGGGACCCGTGGTACCAGCTCCCTCGGCAGCAACGGAACCTCCAGCACCCGCAGTACCCCCAGCTCCAGCAGCTCGCCTCCAGCGCCGGGCAAACCACTCACGCAGCTCCAGAGGAGAGAGCGGCTCGCGGCGTGAGGAACGATCTGGAGAACCACCAGGAACAGAAGCAGCAGGCGCAGCACTCCCAGACGCAGTACCCCCAGGCTCAGCACCCCCAGGCACAGCACCCCCAGGCTCAGCACCCCCAGGCTCAGTACCCTCAGGCTCAGCACCCCCAGGCTCAGCACCCCCAGTCTCAGCACCCCCAGGCTCAGCGCCTGCAGCAGCACCAGAGTCACCAGTGACCTCGACAGGCTCGACCGCGTCTACCTGAGACACACCTGAAGGGGCAGGACCCTGAGGGGGGAGGGGGTCTACCGGGGGGGGACCTGGGACCAGGAAGAGGGGCGGGGGGGGAAGGGACGGAGTGCGGTAGGGGAAGAGCCGGTAGAAGGGAACCGACTCGTCGAACGTGACGTCCTGGGAGGACAGAACACGACGAGAGGTGGGGTGGTAAAACTGCCACCCAGGTGCGTCAGGGGGGAAACCCAGGAAGACGCAAGGAGCAGCACGAGGGGACAGCTTGTCCACAGACAAGTCGCGGACAAACGCCCGAGATCCCCAGACACGGAACGCCGACGCATCGCCAACCTTCCCCGTCCACAGCAAAGCTGGGGAGGTCTCCGGTCTGGAGACCCTGGGCTGAAGGTTGATCTGATGCGCGGCGTACCGAACCGCAAACGGCCACAGAAAATGGGGGGCAGCCGCATGCACCATGGACGTACGGGCGACGTCCATGACAATGCCGATGCGGCGCTCAGGAATCCCATTCTGCTGCGGAGAGTCCGGAAGCGTGAAGGTCTGGCGGATGCCTCGTGCCCGACAGTAGGCTCGCAGAAGGCCGGAGGAGAACTCTCCGCCTCTGTCCGAGTGTAGACGCAAAACAAGAAAGTCCGAGCCGAAGCTCCGCCTGAGCTGGAGACGAGCTGCGCGGATCCAGTCGATCAACACCTCAGTGACCTCACCCTTGCTGCGCAAGGGGAAGACTGTGGTGTAACGCGAGTAGTCGTCAACCACCAGCAGGAAGTAGCGCTCGTGACCCTGTCCACGGACGCGGGCTGGGCCCCACACGTCCATGTGAAGCGTCTGCATCGGGGCCTCCGTCGGAGGAAACGGGGAGGAGTGAGGGGTAGCCCGCAGGCGACCCTCGACACAGGGGACACAGGGAGGGCCAGGCCCCGGAGGAAGGGGAGGGAGGGACCGGGGAAGGCCAGAGACAAGAAGGCGAGAGGCCATGCCCCGGAGACGAGGCAGGGAGGGGTGACCCATCCTGTGGTGCCACAGGAGGGTCTCGTGGGACAGGAGGCGACACGAGCAGGGGGCAGACTCAGCACCAGACCTGGACGCTGCAGCAAACACCTGACCCGACGCAGCTACCTGACCAGACGCAGGAGGAGGAGACGGAACAGTGAGTGTGTACAGGCTCGACCCCGGCCCACGTGTGAACGTGGTCAAGTGTCGACCCGTGTCCGCGTCCGTGCAGTGGGTGTCCCGTCGGCGTGCAGGGGTGAACTGGTCGACCCCTGCATCCTGTAGGTCAGCACCCGCCACCAAGTTCGTAGAGAACGAGGGGAGGTAGAGACCGGACAGGGCGCCAGACGGGACCGCAGGGCACGGCAGGACAGTGGAGTAGCGAGCCAGAACAGGACCCCCAGAGGGGTCCGCCAGGGAGACCGCCACTGGCCGACTAAGCGGTGTGAGTGTGGTGCGGTCTCGAAAGAAGGAGTGAGACGCCCCTGAGTCAAGAGTGAAGGTGAGAGAGGGCGGAGCCGACGCAGTACCTGAGAGAGCAGACTCACCAGCACCTGAGGACACAGACTCACTGGCACCTAGAGCGACAGCCTCACCAGCACCTGGAGCAGTAGCCTCAACAGCACCTAGAGCCGCAGTACCAATGCCTGGGTCGGGCGGGAAACACCGGTAACAGTCACCCTCCTCACTAATAGTCACAGCATACATGGCAGCAAGAATAGCATCAAAGTCAAGATCAAAGATAGCTACTCCTGCCCTAGACAGCTGGTCCCAGCGAGGGATCTCAGAGGCGTCAGGAAACTGGCGGCGCCAAGCATCAGTCAGGCGGCCGAAGCAGCGCTGGGCGGAGTGTGGACCACCACACAGCTCACCCGCACGGTCGCCAGTGCGCAAGACGTAGGTGCACGGACCAGTACCCCCACACCTCTGACGTGCAGTGTACCACTGAC